CTATTGCTATCATGATACAAAGTGCCATTTTATTATTAACTACTACCTTCGTTCCATGAATTGCTATCTACTTTCTGTTTTGGTCCATTTCATGAATTTCATACTCACTTGGCATCTTTCCTTTCTCGGTAAATCTTATATAATTTAGATTTTTTGGACCACACATTCTCTCTTATCCAAGTATTTCTTTTCCTTTTGAAATTTATTTAGCCCTCACTTTGACCTTATCTGTTTCTATCTTGGATTTTCGTACCGCTGTTAGTTGTTACTTGTAGCGTATGGGCTCTGACCTTATTTAGCTTTGTCCACACCTTTAGATTTATGAACTGGCAGTCCTAATACACTGTGTCTAAGGAGAGAGGGAAAACAGATGGATGATAAGAAGCTATGTTACTCAGAATTGGCTATTTGTATTGGATAGGAGATCTTGTCTAAGTGTCAGACTTAGCTGCTTTATGAAAGATTTTGGATGATTTTGGTCCGAAATGTGATAATAAATTGTTTACACACTTATTTTAGTGTCAAGTACCTAGCAGTCAACACGATATAAAATGAGGTGTCTGAATAGTACGGGCTGTTGGCCATGTGGTCCAAGTGATTGAAGTTCTTTTACGTTCTTTCAGAAAAGAATGCTGCATCTAGTTTAGACTATGGGTCTGATGTTTCTCTTTAGGGATCATGCAACTCTATGGTTCCTTATTAGGTTGTTTTGTTGCATATAGTTTCCAGTATCCATGCTATGCTCTTAGGAAAATCACCTTGCTGAATGGAATTGTTTCTTCTAATTTATTAACACAGATTCCAATAAATACATTTTTTTAATGCAGGAAGATAGTGAAAAGACAGGCAAGGTGACATCTGCTGGCATGTACTTCTTGCATTTTCAAGTTTATAGATTGGATTCAACTGTAAATGCGGTAAGAATTGGGAATGCAATTTCATTTCTGAAATTGAGCTATTGTTTTTCATAGCTGTAAGTGATTCTAATAATATAATATGTGGTTCTGCAGTTAGCAATGGCCAAGGATCCTGAAGCTGCTTTCTTTAAAAGGTTGGAGGGTCTTCAACCTTGTGAAGTCTCAGAATTGAAGCCAGGCACTCACATATTCGCTGTCTATGGTCAGAAATAACTCCATCAAGCTGTCTTGTTTGACTGATGTTCAACTTTTATATGGTTGCATTGAAATATTATGTGCTATAGCTAACCAATATTTATATTGTAGGTGATAACTTTTTCAAACCTGCATCTTACACAATAGAGGCACTTTGTGTAAAATCCTATGAGGAAACAACGGAGAAATTGATGGATATTGAGGCACAGATTTTGAGAAAAAGAAATGAACTCTGTCAATTTGAATCAGAGTACAGGAAGGTACTACTGCTTGTATTCTTAACAAATACTTCCTCCGTTCCCCCTAATGTTGCTACAATTACCATTTTAGGAAGTTTCACAGCAATATTACCATTTATGCATATGTTTTCTCTCTATCTCTCTCCTCATCACATGGGTCCCTATCTTTGTTTCTCTCTCTCTATCCTCATCTTAAATACCGTGTCATCCCCCTTGTTGCAATATTAGGGGAACGGAGAAAGTAATAATTTTATGCCCTTCGTTTCTGTAAAAATCTGTGTATTTGATACTTTTTTGTGCAATATTTATTTGTGACTTGTGTTAATGGCAGGCATTGGCTCGTTTTCAAGAAGTGACAAACAGATACAACCAAGAAAAACAATCTGTAAGTTTGATCATTATGTTTCATAGTTTTTAGTTAAGAGGTACGGAATATCAATTTATTTTGACTTGGGTATTTAGTTGGCTCCCCTAGTTGGATTTTAATCCGTGTAATGGGTATTTGAGCTGTGAGTCTAAAATCAATTTGTTTAAGGTCCATATATATAACTAACCCTTATTCACACTTACACCAAGATGAGCCCTTCAACCATCAACAAGGTCCAAATGTAAACCATAAAATGACTGATATCTAAAATTGTGCTCAAGTCTTGGTTACCCAAATGGCCAAATGTAACCCAATACAGTGATATAGTTATTAAATGTATTTATCAGTGTGGCCTTGGATCAACACATAGTCAAAGTTCAATATAGAGTTACAAAATTAGAGTCCAATATTTGACTATTTGATTCCAAGTCCAATTAAATTTCCAAAGTCCAATCTTTATTGGATTCAGTTGAAGTAGAACATGGGATTTTGTCAATAAAACTAGCACCAAAATTTAACTGTTGGGGTACGTAACTGTTACAGAACCAATGTTATTGTGGTTGATGTATCTTGTTTTGAGAAGTGTCAAATTGCTCATCTGTTTGTACCAGAACCTCATTCATCTTAGATGTATGATTGGAACCCTTTGCCTGGGAAGGCTGCCTATTGACTAGTGCAGACTGTATAGCATTACATTGAGTACCTCCGTACCTCTTTATAGTTCTCATTTTATTTATTTATTTGTTTTTTAAAAAGAGAAAATACACAAATACATTTAGGGCCATCTTCTCTCAAGACTCAGACCTGATCTGAAATACTAATTTTATTTGTATACAAAAAGATTAAAATCGACAGTTGAACTATTTATTTCTTGTGAGTTAGGCCCTGGTCCGCAAAAATGAGGCCTAATCATGGCGTCTTAAGTGCAGAAAAACTGAATTAATTCCTGGTTTACACCATGATGCCTGCATTACATCATGTCAAAACTTAATTTAGGTCTTCCAGCACTGGAACTTACCATATTATTATTTTATTCTTATGTCCTTGCTTTGCTATATAGGTTGATGAGCTACTAAAGCAACGAGACAGTATTCACTCTGCCTTCACTGTGGTCAAAACACTCAGTACTGGAAATGCTAGCAATTTGTCAAATGGGAGTACGAGTAAAACTTCTGCTGAAGAGGCCAGGGGCGAAAGCCCAGTGGAAGATGGAGGCTCTGATGGAAAAGACAAATCATCTCGGAAGAGGTGGTTCAATCTCAATTACAAGGGGTCTGATAAGAAGCTTGGGTGATTGCTTTGAACGGAGATGCATAAACCAATTCACTTTTGATTTTCTGATGGGATTTAGGCAATTGCTAGTACTTCCCTTTCAGTGATCACCTTGTATCCATAGCTTAATTTTTGCCCCCCAATGATTCCGATAATCTGATTATTTCACCCATGCTTTCAGCCCTAGAAGAACGGAGAGGGGAACATACAAAAAGGATAGAAGGATATTTTGTTTGATAAGTTGAGTTCTTTTTAAAATGTATTTTGTATGTGTTTGTTATTTATCGAGGAAGAGATTGATATTTTATGGTCTGTTGTAGATATTTTTAAAATGAGTGAATTTTTTGTTGTAAGTATAAACTCTTCATTATTGATTTACCGACGATTTTGTTCTAGCAATATGCTTGTATACATTACGAGCAATATGCGGGAAGCGTTTGTTCAGTGCAAATTTACTGTAGCATTATTTCAGCATATGCTTATTGTCATTTGATATTTCGATGATGCAAACAATTGAACTACTATAACCAATAGATACATTTATGAATGTTAAGTACCTTGTTTGGGAAAGTTACAACGGGACTGCAAACCTGTGATTGTCATGTTTTTTCACCCCTGGTACAATGTGAAGCTGGAAGAAACTCTTACGATTTGAGTGTAATGTATAGAGATTAGAGACCAAAGGGAAGCTGTTAGCAGTTTCTAGATAAAATGTCCAGAAACTTCTAGAGCAAATCAACCAATAAACGTGTAATTGTCCTATGAAATACTCGTATTAGAGACAAGATATTGAGTTGGTAGGGGATGCAAGAATGCGAGGTTATGTCTAGCTTATTAGGGATTTGTGTAATAATTCAGGGAGGAGATTGAAGAATGGAAAAGGCATTGAGAAGTGTAACATGATCTTTCCACCACTATTCCAATTTTCCCAAAATATTTTGCCTTTTCTATATTATGTTTTGTGTCACGACTCGGATTGAAGGGAAGGTTTGAGGCATTACAAGTGGTATTAAAGCAGACAATCCCAAAGGCACCTCCATCAACGATGTAGTGCTTGGATGCTTAATAAGAAAGGTTAGCAAAGTTTGCAAGGATGAAGAATGAGATGGTGGCTATGGTTGTTGAAATAGCAATAATCGTCATGCATGAGTCGTTGTTTGCCTAATTGAAGGAGATTAATGAGTAGATGACAAAGCGAAGCCTAGAATAAACAAATTAGGTAGTGAAATACTAAAGTCTCTCCATTTTCCTAGATTACTCCATCCGTTTTGAAATAAGTGTCACACTTTTACTATCGCTGCCATTCATAATCCACCAGACCAATGTTAGTGATTTACATATACATAAGAAAAAATACAATATCTAATATGGGTACTTATTAGAATCATCTCCGATAGATTATGCATATAATCTATTAATGTAAATTATATTTTTATATATTACCGGCAACTATTCGGGTGGTTCTTAGCGTTGCTTTGTCCAATTCTTGGCCTATTCATCAATTAGATGTGAAGAATGCTTTCTTACATGGCAACTTGAATGATATAGTGTACAAGTATCAACCTTTGGGGTTCAAGGATCCGGCTCGACCTGATCATGTTTGTCTTTTGCGAAAGTCTCTATATGGTCTGAAACAGGCACCCAGGGCTTGGTATCAACGATTTTCAGATTTTGTGGCTACTATTGGTTTTGTTCACAGCAAGTCTGATAACTCATTGTTCATTTTTCACCATCTTCGGGGTGATAGTGCTTATCTTCTTCTTTATGTTGATGATATTGTGATTACAACATCTTCGGGATCTCTCTGACGACATGTTATCTCGCAACTTAGCTCTGAATTTGCAATGAAAGATTTGGGGAAATTGAGCTATTTTTTGGGTATTGCTGTTACTCGGGATAAAAATAGTTTATTTTTGTCTCAAAAGAAGTGTGCACAGGAATTTTGGAAAAAGCGGGAATGGCAAACTGCAAACCTTCCAGTCCACTACTCCCGTTGACTCCAAAGGCTAAATGAGCACTCAGACGGGTGCTTTATATTATGATCCTACTTCTTATAGACGCCTCTGTGGCGCTTTGTTGTACATAACTTTCACTCAACCAGATCTCTTTTATGCCGTACAACAAGTTTGTCTATTTATGCACGCTCCTCGAGTTGAGCACATGAATGCGTTGAAACGCATACTCCGACACATTCAAGGTACGACAGATTTTGGTTTGCATTTGTACAAGTCATCCGTCTCTTCTATTCTTTCTTATACGGATGCAGATTGGGGAGGGTGTCCCGACACTCGACGATCCACATCAGGGTATTGTGTTTTGCTTGGTGATAACTTGATCTCTTGGTCCTCGAAACGGCAATCCACTTTGTCTAAGTCTAGTGCTGAAGTAGAGTACAAAGGGGTAGCTAATGTTATTTCCGAATCTTGTTGGGTTCGAAATTTGTTGCTTGAGCTTCGCTGTCCAATTTCAAAAGCAACATTGGTTTATTGTGATAATGTTAGTGCCATATATATCTTGAGTAATCCAGTTCAACATCAGCGCACTAAATATATTGAGATGGACATACACTTTGTTTGTGAAAAAGTTCAATGGGGCGAAGTTCGTGTCCTTCATGTGCCTTCCCGATACCAGATTGCAGATATCTTCACTAAAGGTCTGCCTAAGGTTCTATTTGATGATTTATGGGACAGTTTCAGCGTTCGACAACCTCTCGTTTCGACTGCAGGGGTGTGATACATTATGCATATATAATCTTTTTTGTGTATTATTTTGTGTATATTTTCCTAGTTTAACCTAGCTTAACCTAGTGTACTCTTTGTATATATATTGTCATTCAATCAATGAGAAAGGCACGACAAATATTCTCATATTCTCTCAATCTCAATGTATAGTTTTTTAATATCAAATTTTTGTAAATTATACTATTAATAATTAAAGATATTATTGGTAAAATTATGCATGGGCATATGTGCCAAGTCAAAGTGGTGTATATATTTTAAAACCGAGGGAGTATGTGTTCTCTACGACAAAGCTCTTGGCACCCTTCCATCGCTCAGCTGTAAGTAGGGTTGTTCACGGTGCGGTTTGTATTTTTTTTTTTCAAACCGCACTTATAACCACACTAAACCGCACCGCAAAATGCGGTTTGGTGCGGTGCGGTTTGCGATTTAACCACAATTTTGTAAAATTACAATTAGTTTTTTAAAAAATAAACTTTTATTTTATTTTGTAATTATTATTTTATAATTCAAATATTAAACTCTTTTTAAAAATTTAATTAGCTAACAGTCAAAGATTACATCATATTTTTTAGCTTTTATATAATTTTTAATAAAAATATAGTATAAAAATGGTAATGGTTTGCGGTTTGACTGTCTAAACCGCACGGTTTGGTCTAAAAATTTTAGGAAACCGCACCAAACTGCGATTTGGTCATTTTCGAAAATTGCATCGTAATTTTCATTGCGGTTTGGTGCGGTTTAGACCGCACTCTGAATAGCCCTAGCTGCAAGAAGACATCAAATGACCCAACAAAATCCAAGAACAACGGAAAATAAATTGTTACATCATTTTGAGACTGGTTGAAGATGGAAAGGATTGTCAATTAACAATTTAGTTATGCTTTTTACGCAGCAATTTTTCTGTTATCATTTGCAATTACTAAAGTGAGTACTTTTAATGATAGTATTTGACAAATTTGCTCTTAATGCCCTATATGTCAAATCAGAATTTTAGTATTCTCTAACTCGTCAAATAGAATTTCCTCGGAAAAATTATGAACACCACTCTTGCCAAGTTACACAATTTTCCAAACTCACACATCGTTATCCACATATAATCCACAGGATTATATTCAGAGTTTCCTTCTGTTGTGGCAACTCGTCAAATAGAATTTCCTCGGAAAATTTATGAACACCACTCTTGCCAAGTTACAGCATGGTTCAAAATAAATAAAAAAATTACCTGACAACTTTCACTAGCGCGTGCAAGATATATATACAGCCCAAAGCCTTAGCACACGAACGAATTTGGGAAAGAGGAGCAAAAGTTCCTCTAACACTATAATCCTAAATTCCTCGCTAAATAAAAAGAAATGAGAAAGGGGGGTTGCAGGGGCAGTAGAAAGAAAAAGGATTCTTCTACAATATATGTGGAAGCTGAGAATCTAATCTCTGTTGCAGTTCCTTAATTTTGGAAGAGAGCTCATCCTTCTGCTCCTTGTACCCTTCTAGTAGATACTCTTTCCCTTCAATTATTTTTTTCAACCCTCTGATTTCTTTTTTCAGCATTTGAATTCTTTCATCATCTCCACTTTTCTCAGGGAACCCAAAATTGGCATCTCCATTAAGATATCCATTGGCATGACCATTTCTTTTCTCTGCCGGTGAAGTTGTGGCAGAAAGCTTTTCGTTAGGGTCCCCATGTGCCAAGCAATGATCTGCAATAGCTTTCCTCAGTCGTTGGATCTCTCTCTCGGAATCAAAGAGTTCCTTGTTTGTCGCATCAAGTTGTGACTGTAAGTTCTCAGAATGAGACATCTGAGCATTAAGGGCATTCTGTAGTTCAGCAATCTGATCCTGCATCTCCACTATCAAATCATCTCTTCGCTTCAACTGCTGCCTGAGTTTCTGTATTACATCCCGCTTGCTAAACATGTCAGAGCCAGATTCAGAGACACACGGTGAGTCAGAATTACTTGAATGTTGAAACGGTTTTGGAGGTGGGTCACCACGCTCTGGAGATGATACCCAAACCATGCTGTATTCGGGTGTCGGAACAGTCACTAAAGGTAGTGACACCTCAGGTTCTGTCATAATAGGGCCGTTTGAAGAGCTCTTAACCTCTGTTATGCGTTCTCCTACATCAATAACCCAAATGAAATTTTTATAATAAACTAAGTAGTCCCTTCATTTAATCTAATCACATGCAATGATAAATAATGCTCCTTTGTTTCATATTCTTTCTCTCTACAACTATGGCTTTGTTTTATATTCTCTCTCTACGACTATGGCTTTGCCACTTATCAAATACTTCTACTCCCCCTCTGTCCCAAATTACTTGCCCCATATCCTTTAGCACAAGATTTTATGTAAGTGAAAAAGTAGAGAGAAAAAAAATGGGTGGTTGAGGCATGGGACTTAACTCAAGAAAGATCTTAGGGACTTAAAATTTCTTAGAGAGGAAATGGTGCAAGTGAATTGGGACATCCAAAAAGGGAAAATGGGGCAGCTAAATTGGGACAGAAGAAGTAATAATCTTTGTAGAGTCAAATAAGATCTAAAAGTAGCAATATTATGAAAATAGATGGTACAGAAAATAAAAATAAAAAATAAATAAATAAAAAAAGGTGATGGGTTCACAAAAGAAGCAAATTAAAATGGAGATAAGAACTGAACCATATCCATGTACAATCAGTTAGATATATATGGTGCTTTTAGAGATTTGTATTGCCTTATAAAGTTATAAGTAACATGTCTTTTCCTATCATGTAATACGTATTCAGGATCATGTAATATCAACTCACAGCAATCCAAAAACAGCAAAATTACTATTTGTACTTGGGCAGTTGAGGGTTCAAATAGAGAATACTCATCCCTGCTCCAAAAATTTAAAGTCAGTTAATATCTGGCTCTAGTTTTGAGTCAAGTATTGTCAGGTCCACAAGTAATGCATCATATGCTCGACTTGTCTATCATTTGTCATTGACACCCATAACAGTTACTGAAAATTATGATGCCTCTCTTCTCTAATCTGAACTAACAGAATGGAGCTATACACAAATGATGCAACTTTGATTGTTAAAGTTGATTCACTATATCTCTTTTAAGGTTACATAGACCTCATCAAGGTGAAACAAAACTCAATATTGATTATTAATGTAGTCATTGATTGAGGTTCTATACACCATTGCCAAGGTTGACCTCTTTTAGCAACCCAAACCAGCTCTTGCATCCATCCTTTCTATTGCAAATTTGTAATTGAAGCACTAGTATATGACCACTATGCAAAGTAAAACTTTCTTTTGGTTAAAGAACTTTAAGTGATTGTCACATAACTTATATTATTCTATACCATGTATTCTAAAACTTTTGCAACCTTTGAAAATTTCTCAGACCATCAATGTGAAAAATGCAAGACATGTTTAGAATTGACTGTCATTTGAAAGTTAAAAGAAAAAAGGGAAACATTTACTCCATACAAACTTGCAGCATCTTCAAAACGTCCATCTACCACTAAGACATTGAAAACAACAATACCTAGATCATAAATTTTTTGCACCTACCAAAGGTAGTAATCTTGTGGTAATTGCTACCTGAAGCACAATTATAGCAGTTATTCTCATCCAATCCATAAGAATGCAAGCTTGAATTTGAGCGACAATTTCCCAACCTCCGTCCTGCAGTTCTCTCATTACCTAAAATGTTAGCATCAAAGTGAGCTACGGAATAGGACGACAAAAAAAAAAAAAGCATAAAACCTTTTTCCAGAAGTCCAAACCTTTCAAGATAGAATTATCTTGATGTTTAGAATCAAGTGCCTGTTTCAATTTGAATCCAAGACGTACAGATAATGTACTTAATAAGGCACCACCTACAACAAGCACCCAATTTGGTCCCTCTCCTTGAACATTCTTTGGCCTCTGAGTCCTAGCTTCACTACTGACTCTTGATTTCATTCTTAAAGCAGAAGTTTGAAAAATAAACCATAAAGGGAAATTACCTAAAACAGAATATTCCGAAAAAATAAAAGTTAGTGTGCCAGTAAAAAGTAAAGGAATAAAGTGCATAAATTTCACATTTTACAAATAACATTCCCAGGGAAGGAAAACAAGCAAGCAGAAGCCATTGCAGAAGGGACTTCTGTTCAGAAGACACTAAGGATCACTAAATCACACACAACTAAGGAAGATGCCAAGCAAGAATGAAAATTATTTTAACTATGTGGCACCAGCTGTTGGCAAACCTACATGCCAAAATAACAATTACTACACTTCCTGAAAGGCAGAGAGCATTTCTCAGACATAGTTGGATGATATTGAATTGTATTCGGTTATAAGTCATCCAAATACAATCAACAAGCTTCCCATGATTCCAAAATTTATTCAGCTTTCTAATTTCAACTCTTTCAAAGAAGTTTCAACATAGACGCTTATTCTAGTGATCCTATAATCTGGAAGAGGTAAAAAAAATACAGGAATCAGAAACAGCCATCTTAGGAATAATACATTACTACAAGCATTCGAGAGGCCTGAAAAAGAAGGTATACATGTCAGCATGTGGAGACGTATGCATATACAATAATTCACATGCACACTTGTGCAAAGCAGAGCTATTGTGTATGGATACCTAGGAGTTTTTAGAATATTCTGAATTTGACCAAGAAACTTGACAGGAAAATTCTCATCTAATAGCTGTCTTTTGAAAACATCCTGAACTTAGCATTTTCCCACTAATAATCCCAATTATTAAAGAAATATATTAGTATACCAGACTTGCATGACATACTATATGGTAGTTTCTGTCTTTTTTTTTTTTTTTTTTTTTTTTTTTTGTTTCTCTAAACTCAAAAAAGAACTTAGCTTCCCTTTCATTTCCTCACCAACTCCCCTTTCTGATTCACCTTACCTCCACTAAGCTCGTCATCCCTCTCTCTTCTAATCCATGAAAATCCTTTATTCTCTTTATTTATCTCTTCCAGTTTTCACCTTCGGTACCACATGCCTCTTTGTCTTG